GAGCTTGGTCCCCCAGGCCTCCTCAAGAGGTTCTTGGAGCATTTTGGTTTATAGAGATCTCCCTGAATTATGACATGAGGCTTCCAGGTCTACACTGCCACTGGTCCTGTTTTGCAAACTTGCAATGCCTGCTCCATGCCTGTTTGCAGCAGATCAATCTGCTTTACCTTCTCCAACAAGCCCAGGATGTCACAGCTGGAAAGGACCTGATTTACAGTGCAGGAAGGAGCAAGTCAGTTCTCTGGAGCCCTGGGCAGGACTGTCAAGCAGTTGCCCATGGATCCCATTTAAAGGCAAGGCTGCACACAGAGCAGGAAGAAGGGGCTAGGAGATTCCCTGGATTTACATCTTCAAAAGATTGCCAGCCTCTCCCATCCTCGGGGTTCCCGGCAGCTGCCAACACACTGTCACTTTCATGGACTGTCCTCAGCCCTGGTCATCTGGGGATGAAGATCTCATTGCTTTCCAGGTGGGAAATGTAAGCGGGTACCTGCTAGATAGAAAGAGCCTGGCTGTCGGCTCTGCCTGGGAAATACTGTATGGTTGTGCTCCAAGCTCACACAGAGGCAGAGCCTCACCTAGCCTAGAAGACCTGAGCCACACCTGAGCCACACCTGAGCCAGTGACCCGCCGCACCTGTACCTCGCCCCGTCTCCTCCCCAGCTCACTTCCATACAGGTGGAGAGGGGCTATTCTTTCTTGTACCTGTCCCCACCCTGCCTCTCTCTGTCCCCCCCCAAGAGTCTCAAGTGACTTGTAAAGTGAACCTCTAGCCTGGAGATGAGGCCTTGGAGATGGGGTAGTCTCCATTCCAACTCCTCCCCTCCACCCCCCGCCATCCTTCCACCCCCATCGCCACCCCCAGCCTGTACTGTCAGCATCCTAGTTCAGGGGAAGCTGTACTACAGCACAGAGTTCCGGTGGATTTTATGGGCCAGCCCCAAGCAGACAAAAGGAGAAGGAAAACATCCCTGCGGAGTCCTGCTCAGCTCTCAAAACCTGATTTCCGCTCAGCCAGAAGGAGGCTTAGCTGTTTTAACCCTCTGTGGGAGGGGACCTCCAGAGCTGACTCAAGACCCTCACTGCTATAACTTCTCACCATCCAGACGTGGCCCCTGTCCCATGCAGGACTCTGTTTCCCCACAAGCCTTTTCCAACATGGCCTCAGAAGCCCCAGATCTGGTTTTTGATCACCATCAGCAGCACATTGATTCACTGGGTTCCACTAAGGCACCAGGTTCCAAGCCAAGCAAGCATCCTGTGGACTTGAGCCCTACCGCCAGGAAGAGAGCAATATGGCTGAGCACTGGCATGGAGAACATCTGGGACAGCTGTCTGTCCAGATGGGCAGGACAGAGTTTTCCTGGCTGAAAACTGGACTTAGTAACAGCATCTATGTTGTCAGATTGGTGTAAGAACCCAAGGGGTCCAGGCAGGTGAACTGCTAAATGCAATCCTCAAGAAAGACTAACTGTCCCCTCCCCAAATCCATTAGGGCAGGCATGGTCCCCAACATTCAGCAAGTTCCAGAAGTGAGGCTGTGGGGATACATCCTACCTTCTCCATTTGCCATTTATTAACCACATCTCCACTTCTGGCTTTTTGGTGATAGATTGGAGATAAAGAGTCTTATGTATTTGCCTGTCTGGGTTGGCTTTGAACTGATATTCTCAGATCTCAGCCTCCAGAATAGCCAGGCTTACAAGCATGAGTCACCTGACCTGCCCCAAAAGAGGCAGGAAGTGAGATGGACAAGTTACACAAAGTCCTTGGGCTGGGAAGGTGGCTCAGTGGTAGAGCGCTTGCCTTGCATGCATGAGGCCCTGGGTTTGATTCCTCAGCACCACATAAGCAAAAAGAAAAAAGCCAGAAGTGGCGCTGTGGCTCAAGTGGTAGAGCGCTAGCCTTGAGCTGAAGAGCTGAGGGACAACGCCCAGGCCCAGAGTTCAGGCCCCCACGACCAGACCCCCCCCCCAAAAAAATAAAAAAAATCCTTGCCCTATAAAGCTTATATTCTAATGAAGGAGACAGATGGTGGGCAGGAAAGTATGTGATGTGTTCACTGCTGTATACCAGGTACACAGATATGAGTACAGAACATGGTAAAGGATGGTAAAGGTTCACTTGATATTGTAAAATGCAAGGGTAGTTAATACGAATAGCAGTGATTGACACTATAGAAGAAAACCAAGCAAGGGAAGGGGGGGGGGTGGCTAGCAGGTGGATAGGGCCCTCACAGCTCTAGCCCTGGCCTCTGAGATGAGATCTGAGGGAGGATTTGAAGGAAGAGAGGCTGTCAGCTCTGGAGACATGAGGGTACAGTGGTGCTCTCCAGGGATAGGGAAGAAGGAAGTCCATGAAGCTAAAACACAATGGGGCAGAGACCAGGAGGAACCATAGCTCCAGTTGAAGTGGACTGAGCATTTTCAGAAGACTGGGCTCACGCTCAGTGACAGTGGATACTGCCTAGCCCTTTGCTGGCATAAAGACAGTGGTACAAATTCTTGAGAGAACTTGAACCCTCGCTCTTTCCAATCATAAATTCCCAGCACCATCACCAGCTCAGGGAATGGCAGTGTTTGCGCACGCGCGCGCGCACACACACACACACACACACACACACACACACACACACACCCCGCTGCCTCCCACCCCCCCCCCCCCCCGGCCATTTTCAGAGCAGGAAAGTGAAATTAAGAGACACGAAGATGTTAAGGGGAAAACAAGGCTGAATTAAATTTTGAAAAATTTCAGTTTCCTTTTTTATGTGCACAAATGCATAAAGTATGGGATGAATATATCACAATTAATATTTCCTTGATACGCATTACATTTCTTTCAACTGTTTCAATGCCAACGTGTATTTTACGAGAGAATGGGTTCATAAATTAACTGATTCAAAAGTATGTGAGAAGCCTGGTGCCAGTGGCTCACGCCTGTAATCCTAGCTACTCAGGAGGCTGAGGATCATGGTTCACAACCAGCTGGGGTAGGAAAGTCTGTGAGCCTCCAATAAACTACTCAGAAAAGGCTGGAAGTGGCGCTGTGGCTCAAGTGGTAGAAGCTCTCCATGGACTGCACCTAGCCCTGAGATCAAGCCCCAGGACTGGCAAAAAAAATAATAATAAAGTATGTGAAGGTGTTAGTACATTTTATATTAAAAAATTTTTATGTAGTGAAATCTTTAAAAAAAAAAAAAAAAGAGGCAGGAAGTAACCTTGCAAAAAAGGGGTGGGGGGCATGGAGGCCGGGTCTTCCTTGTCCAGACCTTGACTGGTACCTACCACATTGTCCTGAGATTCTTTGTGTACAGCATGCACCATGTCTGTTCTCATTCGTGGTTTTAGATTACCCCCAGGTTCCCATGTATCCAACCCCCCTCCCCAAGGCCCAAGCTGAATGAACAAGGCTGTTGTGCCCCTGGGGTCCCCTCTCCCCGCCTTCCTACCCAGCATCACCGCTTCCGAACTGGAACTGGGAGGGGGCTGGACAGAGGAATTTCTAGCCGCCGGAGGGTCAGTCCGGAGCAGCGGGGAGGAGGGAGAAGGGGAGACAGCGAAAGTGAAGGGAACTGGGAGCCCCCGTGAGGAGGCGCAGACAGGGAAGGAAATCTCCCGGTAATAATTCATCAGCTCAGGAAGCAGCGCAGGCCTGGGACTGCGTGTGGGGCTGGCCCTGCCGGGAGGGGGCCCTGCACACTCCTCCTCCTCCCCCTGCCCCGCCGGGGTCACGGTCAAGCAGTGTGGGGGTGGGGGAGCCAGGTGTGGGAACAGACCCTCCTGCAGGCCTTGGCTTCCGAAGGGGAAACCCCTGAGACCCCCACCCCCTCCCCATCCACTTTCCAGGCTAGGACAGGCAAGCTGAGGAGGCAGAGCTGGGAGGCTTCTCCAAGAAAACGGTGGCCTAGAGAAGCCAAATGTACCGCCAAACCTTTTGACGGTACTCCTGAGACCCTCCCTGCCACGGATGCAGACGCCACGAAGCCATCAGCGCCGAAGAGAGGGCTGTTTTCCACCCCAGCGGAGACACTGATTTGGTCAGTCCTGGTTTGGAGCCGGGGAAACCCGGGGATGCCAGTGGCCTTTGTCAGCTCCGTCATTCCTCCCAGAAGCCTCTGCAAAGAACCATCGATGGACAGCCTGAAGTTTCTAGAAGGAAGACAGGCCTGGAGGCCTCCCCCCACCCCCCACCCCCGTCTCACCTTGTAAGGTAAAAGACCAGGGCTTTTACCTGTAAACAAGGGGTCCTATTTTGCAACCGCGAATCGGTCAGCGAGGACAGAGTTAATTTTGTTCAGGTCTGCATCCTCGGATAAAATCTAAAATCAAGTCTGTTGGAGTGAGGAAATGGGTGAACACGAATGATGTTTGTTTGGGTTTGGGTTCTGGATTGCTTTTTTTTTTTTTTTCATTAAGATTGTCATCGGGGAGGTGACATCGTTTAATCTTTTTCTGGAAAGTTTATGGCACGTCTCCCGTGACCATCACCGTGGACTTAGACAAAATGAGGACCCCTAGGCCACGCCCCAGAACTGCCGGGATGCTGTAAGCCCCGCAAGGCTTTCCCCCGACTGCTTTACACACCGGGAAGTTACAGCGCCACGGGATTAGAATTGGAGGGCCGGAAGACATCAACCACGCTTTCGGAAGGAGAAAACAGACCAAGCTAGTAGAAGAGACCCGCCAGTAAGTAGATCTGGAAGTCGGGATCCGGGCTCCACTTTACAAACCCGAAGCAACTGCCCCGCTCTCCAGAGCCCACCTCGAACCTGCGGGGCGGGGGCGGGGGCGGGCTCCCCCAGCTCCCGGGCCGCTTTCAACCTGGGGGCCTGGAACGACCAGTGCGTTGCCATTGGCCGGGGCGGGGCGAGCGGCTCCCCATTGGCCCAGCGGAGCCCCTCGCCCCCGCCCCGGGCCCGGATCCGCCCTGTGATTGGCCCCTCCCTCGGCTATAAGGCGGCGGCCGGCGGGGCCGTGGGAGCGCGCGGGAGCGCACCGCGGGGCGCGGTCTACGCAGGGTGGCCCGGCGCCCGGAGGGACGCAGCCCGGTACACATGGCGTTCGCGCTGCTGCGCCCCGTGGGCGCTCACGTGCTGTACCCCGACGTGCGGCTGCTGAGCGAGGACGAGGAGAACCGCAGCGAGAGCGACGCTTCAGACCAGTCGTTCGGCTGTTGCGAAGGCCTGGAGGCGACGCGGCGCGGGCCGGGGCCTGGGGGCGGGCGGCGAGCGGGCGGCGGCGCAGGTCCCGTGGTGGTGGTGCGGCAGCGGCAAGCGGCCAACGCGCGGGAGCGGGACCGCACGCAGAGCGTGAACACGGCCTTCACCGCGCTGCGCACGCTCATCCCCACCGAGCCGGTGGACCGCAAGCTCTCCAAGATCGAGACGCTGCGCCTGGCGTCCAGCTACATCGCGCACCTGGCCAACGTGCTGCTCCTGGGCGACGCGGCCGACGACGGGCAGCCGTGCTTCCGCGCGGCGGGCAGCGCCAAGAGCGCCGTCCCCGCCGACGGCCGCCAGCCGCGCTCCATCTGCACCTTCTGCCTCAGCAACCAGCGCAAGGGGGTGAGTGCGCGGGGCGGCCGATGCGGGGTGCGCGCAGGGCGTGGGACGGGGCTTCTAGGGAGCCCTGGAGGGGCAGAGCCCCCTCCCCTTGTGTCAAGGAGGGGGCGTGGGGTTAGTGATGGGCGCCTGAGGTAGGGTTTTATTAGAGCTAGTCACTAAGTTCCTCCAAACCGAAAGGGCGCAGGGAGACCCAGAACCTGGGGCCCATTTAATCGAGGGGCGCCCCCTCTAGCTAGAGGTTCCCCGGGATGCCTTTACATCTGGGAAGAAGACAGGAGCAGAGTAATGAAAACCGCCCTTGATGGAGCTCTTGCTTCCTCTGTGCTTGGTGCCTGGCCTCCTCTTGACCTTCAGGAGAGAGTTTAGCAGGTGGTAGGTTAACCCTTCCGTTCTTGGCGATGAACTGATCAGCCTCATCTGAGGCTCAGGGAGATGAAGTCGCATGCCTGCGTTTACGGTGGGTAGGCGCTGCGATTGCTGGTATGTCTTGCTGAGCAGTATATCCCCATCTCAAATGAAGTGACCCTCATCTTAAGAACTGACTCACAAGCTGCAGACTGCAAAGAAATAGAGACAAGCCTCCAACGCGGAGCTGAGGCACCCAGTTGATCAGCCGCCGGAGGAAGCAGGGGGTCCCTGCCAGTCCCCAGCCTCCAAAGGAACAGTGGGTTGGACAGAGCTGTTCTGAGGTTCTGAGATGGGGGATTCAGGCCAAGCTGGTCCTGCTGATCTGGTTGGTAGGGCTGGGTGGCCCTCAGCGCTTGCCAGACCCCAACCAGCATGCTTTGTCCCCAGCCTCTCCTTCCTTCTGGTCTGGGCTTTTCCTAAACTGAGGAAGCCAGTCTATGTGCCATATGGGGAAACTGAGGCTCAGAGAGCTCTGAATGGCTTTCAGTCATCAGTCAGGCCATGGGACCTGTAGTCAGGACAATGATCCTAGGGCAGATTCTGGCTACCAAGTCTGCCCTAAATCACTTGTTTACTTTGTGCCCTGGCCCCAGACCTCCAGACCCCCAGACTGGCTTCTCACCCCTTGGCTGCCTTAGTTTCCCTGGTCAGTCTTCTTAGCCACTGGTTTATATCTTCTCCAGGGTCCCTGCAATTCCCAGCTGTGGACGCTCATTGCCCCAGGCTGAGGTGGGAAGTCCAGGACTGGGCCTCCAGGCTGAAGTTGGGGACATGAGGGCTGAGTGGGCCTTCCTGGTATTCCCTGACCACCTTCCATCTCTTCATCCAGTTCAGCAGCCCTAAACTGCCCAGCAGATGCTTTCTGAAAATTATTACTATTTTATTATTTCATAGTGCTAGCGATGGAACCCTGGGTTTTGTGCATGCTGAGCAAGCACCCTACTATCGACCTCCAGAAGCTGCCTTGTGTTGGCTTTGAGAATGTACCCTAGAAGCAGGGGTGGGTCCCCCACGTCAGTCAGGTGCTCCTAGTGCTGTGTCAGAACCAGGACTGAGAAATGAAGACAAGGATGCTGTGGTATGATGAGAAAGAGAGCAGCAGGGCCTGGCAGAGCCCAGAACCCAGAGGCAGGCAGCTCCCTCTGGGGTCTGGCTAAATTCCTGAAGGATGGGTGGGAACCAAGGTGAAGTGGTAAAGAGGGGTGTTTGAGATCCTGGAGAAGGAAGTGGGAAGAAGTTACAGGTGGTAGGGCACAGAGGGGAGGCAGAGATTGGCTGGCAAAAGTGACAGCTCTCCTCCTGAAGGCTGACTGGTGCTGGACAGTCTGCATGAGGTACCCTTTTAGATCCCTCCACAGGCAAGAACAACTCTGTGACTCTTTCCACCTGCAGGGACATGCTGCCACTGGTCAGGGTCCTATTGTGAGTGATGAGGCAGGAGTTGAACTCAGGCCTGTCTGTTGGGGAATGAGGGAGCTGCAGGCCTGGGAAGAAGGTGTGTGTCCACTCAGCAGACAGGATGGGGGCAGTTAGCTTCTGTAGGTCTCAGGCTTGTCCCACAGCTCACAGGGCCTCATCTGGGCCTGGCCACTTCCCTGGGATCCATCTGTGGGACCAAGAACCCGGCCAAATTTGGCTACAGAAGCCACGATGCTCAACTCCACAGACTCCTCTGGGAATTGGCCAGGGGAGATCCTGGCCAGCACTGGTCCCTCCAAGGACTCAACTGGAAGGAAACTAGCTTGTCTTGGGAAGCCCTGTTCCCTTCTGAGCTCTGAGACTAAGAAGCTCCAAGGTCCCAGACCCTGTCCCTTCACCCTGAGCCTCTACTTCCCTCTCATCCTGGTGTGGCCTTAGGTCTCCATGAAAGCAGTCCCTGTGGCTCCTTCCTGCTTGAGGACAGCTGAGGGCTGGGCCTCTGTCGTAGCAAGAGTGTGTGGAAGATGGAAAGGACATTCTCATCTCTGCTTTGGATTTTATCTTTTGTCATCTGGGGGTGGGCATATCAGGACCCTCCTTCCTGTGAGACTGTTCCCATTGGTGTGGCTGGCTCAGGAGCAGAGGTAGTGCGCAGAGCATGGCAGGGACTAATAGGTACTTCTTGTAAACACTTCATGTCTACTTCATTGTGCTAAGACCTTGATATAAATCTGCGAGCTCATGGAGCTTATAAATAACTGCCTGGCACAGATGGGGAAACTGAGGCTCTGTGAGGCACAGTCACTTGTCTGGGGTCCATCTAGCAGTCTGTATTCAAGGACTGTAGGCCAGGACTGTCCCACCTGAGCCTGACTCTTAACCACACTGCTTCACCAAGACCCTTACTCTGAGTTCCTAAGGGACAAACAGCCCAGGGTCTGCAGGATCTCTTCTTTGCTCTCTTGGCAGTTGATATTCAGGTGGTCCCAGGATTCGAGGGATCATTTTGGGTCCATGTCCTAGGTGAGACTGAGGTTCAGGGAAGGGAGCTGTCCCAACATTCTCATGGGACCCAGGATCCAGACAGCCCCTACTTGAGGTGGAAGGTAATGCTCGCCATCCCTGAGGATTTGAGTGAAAGGAGGGGAGGCCAGTTTTCTACCCCAACCTCAGCACTCCACTCCGCTCTCCTCAGCCTCTCCTGCCAAAGTTTGTCTGAGAAGCCCAGGCCCCAGGCTCTGGGACCATGGCCTCAGCCCTCAAAATAGCCCTGCCTGTTAGTGAACATGCTGTCCCTGGGCCCAGCGAGCCTCCAGGGAGGCTGGGCTCACATCTGGATGGATCTGCCCCAACCTGGGCCAGGGCTAGGGGTGGGGGTGGAGGGCGGGCAGGGACAAAGCTCACATCTGGTCAGCCAGTCTTCTGCTGTGAGCATTTACTGTGTTGTGTTCCTGACATAGGACAGCTTGCTGGACAGTGTGCATTCTAGCCTGGCTCTTTTACCAGGGGGCCAGGTGCCTCTGGGCTAGTCGCTCAACACTGGAGCCCCCATCAGGAGCACTCTGGCAGCTATGACCTCTCTGGTGTCCAGTAGGGATGAAAGCTGTGTGGCCACCACCCAATCCAAGCCGCGTTGGTTGGCACCTGCTCCACGCCAGCCTGGGCTAGAAGTGGAGCCTCAGAATGAGGAATGTCTTTTCCCTGAGCCCCTGGCCTGATAGGGAATAAAGGCAAGTCCCTGCCTTTTTCCCTGGGCAATGCATCCCAAAGGCTGGAAGTGCTAGGCAGTTTCAGGAGAAACCATCCCAGGGAGATGAGAGGGGGAGAATATGTTCCCAGTGAAGACCCCACCAGTGAAGGCTTAGCAAGGCCAGGAATCCATGGTATACTGGTGGCAATGAGGCAGACACAGTGGACTCAGCCAGGCTGTGCCAAGACCATGGAAGGTAGCTGGCCCTTTAGTGTAAAAGATTATTATTATTTTTATTATTTTGGTCTGTTGTGGGGCTTGAACTCTGGGCCTGGGTGCTGTTACTCAGCTCTTCAGCTCAAGGCCAGCACTCTACCACTTTGAGCCACAGTGCCATTTCTGGTTTTCTGGTGGTTAATTGGAGATAAAGAGTCTCACGGACTTTCCTGTCTGGGCTGGCTTTGAACTGTGGTCCTCAGATCTCATCCTCCTGAGTATCTAGGATTACAGGCATAAGTCACCAGGACCCGGCAAGATTATTCTTTATAACATATTAAAATTTCAGATACTAGGATACATGCTTAGATGCATAAGACCCCTCCATACACAAAGTATATTATATATGCATACACATGTATACACAAAGTATATTATATATGCATACACATGTATGTGATGATTGTTTTAGTTGATCTGCACTGGGGCTTGAATGCAAGGCCTCTTATTCTCACTTGACTTTTTTGTGTGTATGCATGTATGTGCTGGTCCTGGGACTTGAACTCAGGACCTGAATGCTGTTCTGAGCTTTATTCAAGGCTAAGCTCTACCACTTGAGCCACAGCTCTACTCCTGGCCTTTTCTGAATAGTTTGTTGGAGATAAGATTCTTAGGGACTTTCCTGCCTGGGCTGGCTTCAAATCATGATCCTCAGATCTCAGCCTCTTAACCTCCTGAGGAGCTAGGATTACAGGTGCAAGCTACCAGCACCTGGCCCATTCAACTTTTTTTTTTGGTCGTGGGGCTTGAACTCTGGGCCTGGATGCTGTCCCTCAGCTCTTCAGCTCAAGGCTAGTGCTCTACCACTTGAGCCACAGCGCCACTTCTAGTTTTCTGGTGGCTTATTGGAGATAAGAGTCTCACAGACTTTTCCTGCCCAGGCTGGCTTTGAACTGTGATCCTCAGATCTCAGCCACATGAGTAGCTAGGATTACAGGCGCGAGCCACTGTAGCCCGGTTCCACTTGACATTTTTTTGCTAAAGGCTAGTAACTATCCTGTAAGGATGGTTTTAAAAGCCACTGATGAGCAGGGAAGGGATAAGAAGGTAAAGAAGTATCTTCCCATCCCAGCTCCCTCCCATCCTTCTTGCTTGCGCGAAATCCTGTCTGAGGGACACCCATCAGCCATTTCCCACATGCTCTTTTCTAGAAACTTCCACTTGTGAGCAATCAGCTCCGCCCTTGCTTCTGCTCTAAGCAAGGCCTCTACACGGCACCCCCTGCTTGCTTGAAGTTCCTTCTGCTTTAGTGTGACAGAACGGGGATGGGTTGTCAAGCTGATTGCTAGGCATAAGGGTATTTCCTCCTAACCCCTCTTCCTCTCCTTCTGCAGGGTGGCCGTCGTGAGCTGGGGGGCAGCTGCTTGAAAGTCAGGGGAGTGGCCCCCCTTCGAGGGCCACGGAGATGAGCCTGGGCCCCTACGGCATTTGCTTCAAGCAGGACCCCAGAGAAAGAGGCCAGGAGCTGGACAGGGGAGAAGACCTCAGAAGCCAAGCCATCCCTTCTTTGCCTAGGGACCAGGGACAATGGCCTGGGACCAGGACCATGTGGGCAGAGTCCCTGGGAGGTCTCCACCCCACCCTGGAGAGCCTTGAGGACCCATTGAGTCCACCATGGCCAGGCTGAGGCAAGAAAGAACTTCTGGAAAACCAAAAACTGTTGGTGACAGGTGTGTGTGTGTGTGTACGCGTGCGCGTGTGTGTATGTGTGTACATGAGATGTATATGAGAGAGAGAGAATTGGTGGGTTTAAAATAAAAGTATTTTTAAATAAAAAAGTATCTTTCTCCTCCCAGCTAAGGAAGGGAAGGACTGGTGGGCTTGAGGTCGGAGGCAGACCCTTACCTGGGAAGAGAGAAAGGCCGGGCCATGTCCTGGGCTGCTGAGCCCCGGAGCAGAGGCTGGAGCAAGCAGGTGGCTAATGTGGAAGTGGAGAGCACCAGCCTTCCTCACTGCCTGCCATTTATCTGATGTCCTAAACACCATTTGCTGTCTGGTGTGGTGGGTAAAGAAATGCTCGCTTTATTTATTTGCAAATAACGATGAGATCCATGGTTCAAAACTCAAAAGCCACGAGATGTCTTGAGGTACAAAGTCCCCTCTCCCTGTCCTCCCAGAGGCTGCCTCAGTCACCGGATTTTATGATGGGCACACTTAGTGAACAGTCCACCTTGCCTCTTCCTTCCTGGTGCCTTTAATGGAGCTTGCTGTCATCCAGGGAGGTGGGTCCCATATTAGCTGATCATCATTGCACTTCACAAGGCAGCTGTGCACTCATCGTCCCTGTTCCTGTCCTGTCCATGCTGCCACCGCCAGGGCCACACCCCCAGTGCTGAGGGCAGGTGTTGTCACCCCTGTTTTAGCTGGGATGATTTGGGGGACTAATGACAACAAGCACCTGGCAAGTGACAACCCCGTACTCCCTCCTCCCCTACATCCTGAAGTCTGCCTCTTTTCTTTGTCTTTGCCAGTGTTGGGCCTTAAACTCAGGGCTTAGGTGCTATACCACTTGAGCCACAGCTCCACTTTGGCTTTTTGGTGGTTAATTGGAGATAAGAGTCTCATGGACTTTCCTGCCCTGGGCTGGCTTGCATCCTCAGATCTCAGCCTCCTGAGTAGCTAGGGTTACAGATGTGAGTCACCATTGCCCAGGGGTTTGTCTACTTTTAAAGCCCGAAGCAGTCCTTCCTTTGCCCCAGTGGAGTGCCAGCCCTGGGCGCTCTGGAAGGCAGGGGTAAGTTTTTGCGGCACTTGATCCAGCTGAGCCGAGGACAGCAAGAGCTAGTCAGGAGCGCATGGCTCCCTGGGCTGGCCAGGGTCCCTGTGAGGCCTAGCTAAGAGGCATTCAGGAGGCCACACAGCTACCACTACCTCTGCCAGGTCTACCCTCTACTTCCACTGAACAAGCACTCCATGTTACTGCCTGCAGTCTTCTCACACGTAGAACAGACCCTGCTCCAGGTACAGGCGGCCTCTGGCAAGGCCACAGGAAAAGGCCTATGACCTTGTCAATGGCAGGAAATCTGGAGGTGGGGGCAGAGAAGATGCTTGGGTGCTCTGGGCTGGAAGCCCACTTCTGCAACAGGTTTGCTGGGTGACCCCCCGAGATATTGCTTGACCCCTCTGGGCCTCCTTGGCCCAAGCTCTCACCAGCAAGAACAGAAAGTGTTTATTTTGCTGTGTTAAGTAGTTTTTAATAGGCCATTTTGCATACTGGATAAACAGTTCAAGATGCATGCAGTAGTATACAGTGAGTATCAAAGAACTCTACCCCCCCCCTATTCCCCCCCCCCCCCAGCTCCTCTCCAGAGCAATGCCATTAGCAACTTCCGGTAGCCCCTCCAGAAATACCCAACTGGTTACTATTTCTGGGGGAAAATATATATATATATATATATATATATATATATATATATATACACACTTGTATTTTCTGCTTATGTCTTCATTGTAAAAAGTTCAAATACTCCATGCTCTTAAAAAAAATAATAACCCATCCTAAACAGCCTCCAGTGCACACCTGCCTGCAGTGCATTCATTAAACTTGTGCTTCAACAGCCACTCAGCCAAGCCTTTTTTTTTATGGAAGTAGAGTGCACATGCAGGAACCTGCATGTGCCAGCAGAACACAGCTCTGGGAATTTGCACCCTAGCATGCCAGCTAAGGAACAACCAAAAAATGCTTCCCAGAGCTGGGTGCTAGGGGCTCACACCTGTAATCCTAGCTAATCAGGAAGCTGAGATGTGAGGATCATGGCTTGAAGCCAGCTGGGGCAGGAAAGTCCTGGAGACTCTTATCTCCAATAAGCTACTCAGAAAAATTCAGAAGTGGTGCTGTGGCTTAAGTGGTAAAGTGCTAGCCTTGAGCACAAGAGGCTCAGGGACAGCACCTAGGCCCTGAGTTCAAGCCCCAGGACCAGAAAAAAAGAAAAGAAGAAAAGAGAAGGAGGGAAGGAGATGGAACATGGGGTGGACACTTCTGCTCACACTGGCTCCTTACAAGTGGCTGGCACATTCACTGAATTCACAGTTCAAAAGACACAACAGAGAATAAACTGAGCTGGTTCTCAGAGGGTAAATTCTGTTAACCTAGGATTCAGGGGTTCCCACAGAGGGGAACTAAGTACAAATAAGTGTATATGTGCGTGTATTACATGTGTGTGTATATGGCCACACATATGCCTCAGAGATGATAGCTTTGTGTGTGTGTGTGTGTCCATCGTAGGGCTTGAACTCAGGGCCTGTGCTCTGTCCCTGAACTCTTTTTTTTTTGGGCCTTGAACTCGGCCTGGGCACTGTCTTTCAGCATTTCAGGTCAAGGCAAGTGCTGTACCACTTGAGCCACAGTACTACTTTCAGTTTTCTGGTGGTTTATTGGAGATAAGAGTCTCACAGACTTATCCTCAGGTTTCTGCCCCTTGAGTAGCTAGGATTACAGGCATGAACCACTTTTGTTCAGTTGAGCTGATAGTCTTTTATACCCTCTACTCAAATTTTTTTCCCTTAATACTTCCTGGAGAGCTGTTTGGTTTTTTTTTTCAAATAATTGGGTGAGCTGTTTCACACTTTTTCACAGCTGCATAGTGCACCATTTCCACAACTATTGCAACTCACTGTCTTCCTGGGTAATGGATGGTTAATGGCTGTGAATCTTTGTGAGCTGCAAGACCATCTCAATGCACATGACTTGGAAGAAACAGCTGAGGATTCAGACCTTGGTGTGTGTGGGGGATGGAGGGCATTTTCCTGTCACTGCCCCTTTCCTAACACATGTACTTTCTACCTCCAGAACAGGTTGGCTCAGATAGCCTTTTCCAGGCCAAGGTGGGGTCAGAAGGATAAAGTTGCTCAGCGAGGAGAACCCAGGGCTAAGCAGGGTGCGGTGGCCAACCGCAGCCTGGGCACCTTGAACCCTGCTGGTCTTAACTCCTCACAAACCATCCTGAAGCAAATGATCTAAGTGATCTGAGTTCTCTCTGTTTAACAGCTGGGAAAGAGAAGACAGAAGTGCTGGGGCGTGGGTGCCCCCCTCTCCAGCCCCACAAGTCTCTGGTCCTGCTGAGCTACCAGGGATACAAGCCTCTAACTCCACAACTGCAAGCAGAAATTCCCAGAAATCACCCATAGCCATGGGAAGCTGAAGCCCAGAGAAAGAAAGAAAGAAAGGGGGGGGGGGCTGGGGAGGTGGCTCAGTGGTAGAGTGCTTGCCTTGCATGCCTGAGGTCCTGGGTTCGATTCCTCAGCACCACAAAAGAAAAAAGCCGGAAGTGGTGCTGTGGTTCAAGTAGTAGAGGGCTAACCTTGAGCTGAATTGCTGAGGGACAGTGCCCAGGCCCAGAGATCAGGCCCCACGACCGGACCCAAAAAAGAGAGAGAGAGAGAGAGAGTGTAATGGGCCATTGGTTGCATAGTAGTTGAAGCTAAGCAAGGCATACAACTCAGCATACCACCCCCACATTGGTATTCCTTTCTGGCAACCCAAACTACTTCCACTTCTATGAGATGCCCATTAGAGTAAATCAGAGCCAGGTGGGGCACTGATGGCTCACACCTGTAATCCTAGCTACCCAGGAGGCTGAGACCTGAGGATCACCATTCAAAGCCAGCCCTGGCAAGAAAATGAGACTCTTTATCTCCAATAAACCACTAGAAAACCAGGAGTGGCACTGTGTCTCTAAGTGGTGGAGTGCTAGCCTTGAGCAAAAGAGCTCAAAGACATCACTCAGGCCCTGTGTTCAAACCCACGACTGACAAAAGACCATAAGAATTCTGAAATCAGCATGTTTAACAAGTTAACTCTTAACCCTCACACAATCCCAAAGCACAGTGCACTATCATAGAGCCATTATATCATTATAATATTTACAAAACCATCAGTTCATGGAGCCCACATCTAAAGACACGCATCTTTCATTTACCCCACCTGGTCCTGTGTTATGGCATCTTTTACTTCATGTGCTTGTAACCTAAGGCATCTAGACCTAGACAAATGAGTGCAGGTCATGACCTTGGATGCCGGCTGGACGCTGGGGGCCAGGCAACACAAAGGGTTTTATTAGGACAGTGGGCCAAATCAAAATGGGAGCAACAGATTCGATACTGTATCTGAGGCAAATCTGAGCTTGTTTCACAGCTGTGGCCATCTAGCCTTCTGCTTGAGAGAAGTATTCCAGGACCCAGCACTCAGGAGGCAGAGGCAGGAAGATCTGTTTGGGGCTGGACACACACACACACACGTATAATTTTTTTTTTGGTTGGTTGGTTGTGGGGCTTCCTGGATGCTATTCCTGAGATCTTTTGTTCAAGGCTAGCACTCTACCACTCTGAGCTACAGCTCCACTTCCAGTTATTGAGTTTTTCATTGGAGACAAGAGTCTCATGGGGACTTTTTGCCCAGGCTGGCTTTGAATTGAAGTCTTCAGATCTCAGCCTCCCTAATAGCTAAGATTATTGGCATGAGCCACTGCTGCCCAGTTATTTACATATATTTATATATTTATGTACATATAAATTACATATTATCTTTAGATATCTATATATAAAATATATAATACACAAATTCTATGTAAATTATAAAATTATCTATGTGATTTTTTTTTTTTGTCGGTTGTGGGGCTTGAACTCTGGGCTTGGTTACTGTCCCTCAGCTCTTTAGCTCAAGGCTAGTGCACTACCACTTAAGCCACAGCACCACTTCCTATCTATGTGATTTGTATCATATATTAG